ATAGATCTGGCGCCTGGACTCGTAGTCCAGCACCACCGCCTCGATCTGTGCCAGCGTGCAGAGCACCAGGAACACGTGGAAGATCTGATGGCTCTGCCCGAAGAAGTGGCATTTCCCAGGGAGCCACTTCTCGGGGTAAGGGTGTGAGAAGAAGAAGGCTCCGATTAGGAAGAAGAGCACTTGGCACTTGTGGTAGAGCAGGGCCGGGTCATCGCGCTCAGAGCGTGGCGCGATGCAGATGCGGTGAGCCACGGGGCTGATGTCCAGCATGTAGGCCAGGCCAGAGGGCAGCTCCTGGCAGAGCCGGCTCAGGAGGCGAGTGGACTGGTGGTACCGGTACTTAGCGTAGCAGGAGCCGGCACAGGACAGCCACGCTAAGAGGGCTGCTGCTGGCATGTAGAACCCCTTGATCTTCTCGTGCCAGCTCGGCTCAATTGCATAGTAGTAGTGCACCAGAGCGCTGCCGTACTGGTAGATGGCAACCCCCACATAGTCCATGAAGAAGAAGCTGTAGTGCCAGAACTCAGATTTGGCCTGCAGAAGGTGAGCGAGGCTGCTGAACATCAGGTAGGTGATGGATGCCACGATGATGATGAAGAGGGGCTGGGCATGCAGGTCCTGCCCAAAATCCACTCTCTGAGAGAGCTGCTGGAACCGTAGCAGCAGGATCAGCGCTGCCACCAGATGAGTCCAGACATTGATGGCCTCATTGTGCTGCTGGAAGAGCGTCGAGAAGTAATAGCGCCAGGTCTGCTGCACGGGCCGGTAGCCGGTGTGGATGTAGGGCTTCCAGAAGACCTTTGGCACCTCGGAACTGCTGACGGTGGAGGGAGAGAGGGGAGCCAGCAGTTGAGGGATCTGCCGCACGTTAATGAAGAGCCGGCTCAGCCTTTCAGTGACCACTGTTGCCATGATGCAGCTGAACGGGGGGGTTCCAGCCACGCAAAGCGACCTCTGGGATGGGAAAGAAAGAGCTTTGCTTTGCGGTTTAAGAGTGACTTTACAGCAAATAAAACCAAACCAAGCAGGGGCTGTTGGAGCACTTCGTTTTTTTTCCCCAGAGATAACGTAAACTCCCGAGTGACTGGAGAACAGCCTCATCAGAGCTGAAATAGAAGCATTACCCAAAATAGTGATAGGAAAGAGGCTAAAGGGAGATTTAGGAACCCCTGGAGTGCCCCATGCTGCACAGACAGATGGTCTGGAGGAGCACAGAGGTGTAGAGGACACGAGTATGGGGTTAACTGACAGTGTTCAACACACCAGGATGCACCAGTTCTTAGCTCACCCCTTCCCAGCAGCTTGCCAAACAACCCAAACATCCTAAACAACCCTCCTGCTCCTGCATTTCCCCCTTGGTTTGCAGCATCTGCCTTTACAAAGAACAAGCCACGTTCCCACACAGCACTGGGACATCCTGCTCTGCTTCACGAGGGGTGCATTTGAGAGCATAAATACCCAACGGCAGTGACAGATCTAACTTCTGTGTTTGCAGTTCTGGCTGCCTTTTTGCAGCTCCTGCTTTTCCAGGCAGCTTTGCACGAAACCAACACAGTTTGAGTGAGCTCATCCGGTTGCATCACCGAGATCCAGCAGCGTCATCTGTGCGAGCCAGCGCTTCCATATCTGCCATTTGGAAGCTGCTGCCCTTATCAAGACAAGGACAGCCCCGCTGGCTTGCTCTGCCTTTTCATGGCAACTTTCAAAACACACTGAACAGAACGTGCTTGAAATGAGATTCCTCCTCTCTACCTGCTCTTGCTCAGGCAGGTTCTGAAGCCCAACTCCCATCCAGCTCTGGTGGCGATTTACACCTCATCTCCTGGCAAGTGCAGTCATTCTGGGGACAGCTCAGACGGGAAAAGCTCCTTGAGGCTCAGGAACAGGAGGAGGTGGGGATGGGACTGTTTATTGTTAAGATCTCTGCAATTTCCTCACCAAAACAGAGTGGATCCATGCGTAACTCGTGCTGCTGCATGGCTTCCTCCTCTCTACTCTTTACCCAGGTTAAAGAGGCCCCCAGCCTGGCCTGGGGCAGCACCTCACAGAGGGCAATCCCGACCCTTGCTTGGCCTCGTAAACCCTCTTGTACCACCACGACATGAAGAGGCTGCAGTGAAAACCTGACTTCATCAAGCTCTTCTCACAACCTCAAGTTGTGAGACCTCACAACTCACAGCCTCAAGTCCTGCCGGGGAGACACGGGACAAAGCAGAACTCCCCGGGTTGAGCTGTTCTGAGCACAATTCAAGGGGCAGTTTGAACTGAGAGGGCTGCCTCTGCCCAGCACATCCGGGTACAGGGCTCAGCTCCAGACCATGGGACAGCCACCAGAATACAAATGCCTGGATCTGCTCAGGGAGATGCTGCAGCGGGGGGGAGCTGCATTCCAGGCAGCTGAGCACAAGGCAGGAAAAGGAGCGGTATTTACCTCAGGTCCTCCAAAACTTGTTGGAGCAGGAGTCGATTTGCAAAGCTATTCCAAGCTATGAAGCCTTGGGCAATGCTCGGTTACAAACAGAGCACATCCTCTGCGGGGCTGGAAATTATTAATCTGCCTTCTACGCTGAATAACCACCTCCTCATACCTCCGAGATGTCAATAACGTCGCTTCAAACGCCTGTTATACCCTACAGAGCATTTCCTGTCTCAAGCAGCATCCACCCATCCCACTGGATCCTCCCTTTACGGACACAGCCTCAGCCGCGGCGCTCGCAGCCGCTCTCCCCTGCGCTCACATCCGTACCCAGCCGGTTCTTCTCAGCCACGATCGTGCCTTCACCTTCACCGCAGCGGCCGTGCCCGGGCAGCGCCTCCCGGGGCGGGCAGGGATCGGGCCCGCTCTCAGGGCCCTCCCCTCCCCGTCCCCACCCCGTCGTCCCCCCCCGCCTCCGCCAAGCCGCGGGATCCCCCCAACCTGCTGCGAGCTCCGCTCCGCTCCGTTCCGCTCCCGCTGCGCACCACGACCCGCAGCGCCTCCGCCCCCTGCGCCCGCCCCGGCCCGCCCCGCGGCCGCTCCTGCCCCGGCTGCGCGCCCCCCCCATCCCTGACCGCGGCCGTTCGGGGCTCTCCATCCTCTCCGCTTCGCTCCAGCGCGGCTTTTCCTGCCGGAGACACCGGTCCCGCTCTGCCCGAGCAGCAGCTCCCGCGAGCTGGTTCTTCCCCCCCTCCATTTTCCCTTCTCAGATCACTGCGTCTTTTCACTGTTTGCTCCCTCAGATCTCGTTCCCACCCCCCAAAACTTCCATTGCCCCACAGCAGCTCCGAGTATTTGTAAAACCAAGCTCAGACCCTGGCCATAAAGCTCCAGTTAAGCTTCACACAGGCAGCCACACAGAGCAGGACTAAGCCAGGGGAACAGAAGGCCCTGAGCTGGGATGTGACAGCTTTGGCAAGTCAGAAACTCACTCTCAATGTCTCTTTGTGCTTAATAACCATTTGGGTATTGGCAGTGCCATCACCCTCCTCCTGCAGCCCTTGAACAGACAACAGCAACCCCACACACAGTATTTGGGACTCTCCTTCTTTCCTCAACAAGTGAAGGAATGTATTAACAATAACCTGAGGGTTTTGTCATTGCTAATTATGCCTGATCTTGTACATGGCATCTGACCCAGCACTCACAGCTCCATTATGCAACGCTAGAGCTTCAACCTCTTTGGTAAGCACACTATGGAGCAGGTTCAAGCTTTTGCCTCAAAGGTCAGCTCTGTATTCCCTGGCCCTCCCGCACATGGAGCCTGGCCCACAGCCCCATGCTCTCAGCTTACACAAGATTGACATGTGCCATTAAAAGCCCTAAACCTGCCCTATGCCTCTGCTGCAGAGGGGGTGAAAGTACAGGATCAAAACACTCTGAAACTCCTTCAGGGAAAGGACCCAATCACAGCTGCCTGTGCCTGGCTTATCTCCATTCTTCCTTCATTCAAACAGAGCAGTATCAGCTTTTAGTTAAGTACAACTCTGATGCAATCAAGGGTAGCAAGTGTGATACATAAAAGCTCTCTAAACTGAGATTCCTTCTTTAGCAAGCCCCAGAAGACGTCAAGAGGTCCAGGATGCATTAGCCCCTTAAAGAAAACAAGAAGAATGTCACTTGGGCAGTGCAGGATGCTCCATATGTGGAGCCATCCTGCAGCCGAGCCTTGAGATCAGGAGTGCAAATGGAGGAAGACAGGTGCTCACCAAGAGCAGTGCCACCACTGTTTGACACCCAAGGCTTCCCTGCTCTGAGCGCACACACTGCAGCAGAGACTTCAGAGCACGAGCTTTATGCTGAAGTTCTGTGGCTGTGCATACCCCAACTGCAACCTTGCCTTCCCCACAGAGGAGCATGAGCCCCTACAGATGGTGCTTAGAGGAAGGGTCTGGGGTGTTTTCAAGGCAGCTGTACCCTACAGCAACTCTGTACCCAACGCACCCAAAAAGCGCCTTTCCTCAGAGCACAAGTGCACTCATACCCATTCCTCACACACCAGAACACAGACACACATCCCTGCACGCAGGAGTTAATCTCCAGCCTGAGGCACAAAGTGCTGGCCCAAGGCATCTGGCACACACCAAAACAACTCTTGGCCACAGCACCATTGTCACTGGGGCAGGCAGAGGATCCCAGCACAGAACAGGTCCCTGCCTTCCATGCTCTGACACCACAGGATGCGGGACACAAGTCCCCATTGAATAGAACAAGTCATCTTCTAGCAACCCTCATCAAAAGCAGGCTCAGATCAGTCATGTGGTAACAAGGACTCATTTGTTGAAGCATCAGCACCCAAAGGGAGGTGGCCCTGAACTCCTTTGGACAAAAACCACACAACAGCTGACGCCTGCTGAGGTGTCCAAACAAAGCTCTGATTGTAGAATGAAGACAATGAGAGTGCTCTAGGAAAGGCAGCAGCATGGCCATGGATGTGAGGACCCTCCCACCCAGCACTGGGAGCCTGCTGCCCACCTCAGCCAACCCATGTGGTTTCTCATGCCATTGTCAGAAGTTATTCTCATAACAGCACTGTGCAGCTTTATTTAGTCACTCAGTTACAGCAGTATTTTAGCAGACTGGGACAGAGTCAGATTTTTGAAGTGTAACATATTTAGCATGGAACAGTATATTTTACTTATTCCTTTCACAAACGTCTTACAGAGCTGATACAGTACTAGCCATCAACCCAGCAGCAAGCGCGCTGGAGTAGAAAAGGATGCAACAAGAAGATAGCTACACTGGAAAGACAACACTTTAGAAAAAGTGAAACACGGAAGGTCTCTCCTCTAGCCCCCACGCAAAGTGTACAGTTTGGATCTAATTTTACAGCTCTACATCAGTTTCTAGAAACTTAAAAAGAAAAAAAAAACAGAACCGAAACAAAACCAAAGAGAAAACCACTGGCCAGTACAGTCTTTGGATATTTAGAGGAGGGGGAGAGAGTCAGTTTCCAGAATGAAGTCAGTCGGTTTCAGCCTCACCAGGGTCTTTGCCTTCTTTGTTCTTTCTAACCTCTTCAATATGCTTGTCCTGCAAGGCAACAGCAAGGAAGCAGTTAGCTGACGGGCAGGCTCCAGCTTGCTCCCCACAGCAACCTGCGAGCACAGGTTACTGACACCAGCTCCACGATGAAGCTGTGTAAGAAAGGAGGAAGATGCTGCTCCAACTGCATCCATTCCCTCTCCCCAGCAGGAGGATTTCTGCAGTCCTCTGCAGATTTAACCTTTCAAGATGAGACCAGCACAGAACCACCACGTTGTGTGTCTATAGATTCATAGCACCCCCCTCACTTGGCCATTTACTCGGCTTTATTTAAGCAGGATTTGAAGTAAGGAGCATGGATAAACTGGCTCCCAAAGGGGAGCTGGGACTCCACACCCACCTTCTCCCTCAAGCGCTCCAGTTTAGCAGCCATTTGTGCCTCACGGTTTTCTTTGTTCGCTTCCATTTTGTGGGTCAGCTTCTCCTCTGCCATTTTGCTGAAGTTGTTGTTTTCCTCAATGGCTTTCTGCAGCACCTCCTTCTCGTGCTCCCGCTTCTCAGCCAGCTGCTTCAGGACTTCTGCTTCATGAGACTAATGAAACAGAGGAGGGGTGCTTTGACATGAGAGAGGAACCACAGAGACGGCTACAGCTGCGCTGCTCACAGCTCCCAGGAGGAAAGATTTGCTGCTGGTTTACAACAGCATAACTTTGATACAGGACCAAGCTCCCTGGTGCTCCCCTACCCACAGAACCGGTATTTCACCATCGCAACCTCCCACAAGACTTCCGTTTCTGTTGTTACACACAGGTTTTGTTAAATGGGGTTTTCTGGGGGGGAAAAAAAGACCTTTTCAAGTATTAACACTGATGGATCTTTCCTAGAAGGTTCTCACTTCTCAGAATGGTGAATCTTTGTGATTCAGGTCATACAGGGGCACTTCCATTCGTAAGCCTCTGCATATTCAAGAGCTCCAAGCTACATCTCAACAGCAGGATCCTGCACCAAGTTTGACACTGCATTCACACACCTTCTCATTGCACATTCACCACTACGTCTTCTAAGAGGAAATGGATCTTACAATGTTGAAGACCAGGAAACACTTCATCCTGAAAGCACATCCCCTCTCAACTACACATTTACTCTCCCAGTTTTTCAAGTGACCATTCAAGACCACTTTGGGAACAAAGCTGGAGCTTTGCAGACCATAACAAAGGTTCCCAAAAGCCTCACAGACTCCAAAGGAGTTCAATGAATACTCCATTTACCATAATACAAATTGAGGATCACTTGTCCCATGCATCCAATTAATAGTAATTTACAAAGCCAAACAAAAAGCAAAACAACTTGCCCAGACTGCTTGAGCAGAGCTCACTTAGGCTGATTCAAGTTTACCTTACGCCTCTCTTCTGCTGCTTCCAATTTCTTCTGGATCTCCTCCAATGACACATCCTTCTTCTTTGGGGGAGAAAGAGGGAATTCTGGAACGGCTTCTTTTGAGCGGGGACTGAGTATCAGCTCAAATGCCTGCCCAGAAGCACGCTTTTCCAGTTCCTTCACTTGAATATCTAGGAACATGAGGGGGGAGACACAAAGAAATAGAACAATATTTTAAGCTAGGAACTGAAGTAACTTAAACAACAGCCTCCAAATACTCAGCCTCACAAAGCCCACCTAGGAAAGCAGTTAGCATGGGAGCCAATGCTCTAGTTTTAAGCAGCAGCATCACCATCCAAAGCCACGGCAGGCAATTTTGTTTGCAGTTTTTCATCATGCATTTATGAAATCCAAGCACCTGACATTTGATTTTTAGCCTTTAATATCCAGGGCCATGAAAACAAGATTATCCCCATTGCCAAGGAAAATTCACCCATTCTCCAACGACAAGTTTAAGGAGGTTTCAAGGTGTCTGCCTAAGGACCTGACACCAGGTTTCAAAGAACCATGCAAGCCAGCCTTCTCTCTTCAAACACCTATGAGGAGACACATCAGGCCCTGGCATGGTGTCAGCTGTACCAGCACACCAGCTTTGATCACCAAGATGATCGTCAGTTCTGTTCACAGAGCAGATGGCATGCAGCTGAGCTGAAGCCCATCTGCTACCAGCCTCCTCCGAGAGGGCTTTCGTTATGTTGTCACAAGCACCCGGTTCCAACAGCTTCTCCAAAGCAGCCTCGAGATGGGTGAAAACCCCCGTGACAACGCTTGATTTTACTAGACTGGATTTTTTGAATCATTTCTGAGGAAATTGAGAGGAAAAAAAACAACATCAGAGCATTTAGTGCATATCACATACCAGAAGTAGCCATGACCAAGAAAATATGACTCCAGAAACCAGCTCTGCAAGAACGCCAATCAGTTGGAGTCCTAGATAACAAAGAAAGATGCTTTTGAACAGCGAGTACATGGATTTCATCTACCTCCTAATAAGAACCGTTCAGCGCAACCAGACCCGCTGAACAAAAGACAGTTAATGCAGTCGGCAATTCCAGCCTGGGAGGCTGATGTACATGAACAGCAGAGACGTTCCCCATTATGGATGCTGCAGGATCTATGGGTACGGCTGCAGGCAGACGGTTTCAGTCCCCGTCCGCTCCACCGTGATTAAGAACCGCAAACAAAGGCTCCCATCGGACCGCTCATTCAGCGGCGGCCACGCCACGGTGCTGCGCAGGGCGGGTGCCCGGCAGGGCGGCACAGCCGCGCCGAGCTCCTTCACACCCGCGTCGGTCCGAGCGGCTGGAGCGGGTCGGGAGCGCGCACACGGCCGCGAGAACAGAGCCAGAGCGCGCGTTAACCCCGCGGGGATGCTCCGGTCCCAGCCACCGCCGAGGCGCGGCCCCGCGCCCTGTGCGCGCTCCCGGCGCCGCCCGGCCTCCCAACGGCACCGCCCCTCGCTCCGCCGGCAGCCAATGGGAGCCGAGCCCGAAGCCCCGCCCGCGCCTTCCCGACCGCACCGAATTCAAACCGCCGGGGAGGCGGAGAGGGCGCGCGCGCGCGCGATCCCGCGGGCGCGGGGGGCTCGAGGGAGGGCGGGGCCAACGGCAACATCCGGGCACCTGCCGCCCCCCGCCGCAGGTGCGGGCCCCACGCCCCACCCCGGAGCGAGGGGAACGGGGAGGGACGGGGTCACGGGGGCCGCGGGCCGGGTCCCCCCGCACCACCCCTCGCAAGCGGGGCTCAGCCGCGGGAACCCGAGCGCGGTAGCGCCGGGGCGCCCCGCCCGGGCGCCGCCCCTTCCCCACTAACAATGGCGGGGTCCTGTCAGCGAGGGGAGGGGGCGCCGCCGCCGCGAGCAGGGCGTCGCCCGCTCCCGGGACAAAAGACCCCGCGCTCGGCGCCGGGAGCGGGGCCGGCGAGGGGCGCCCCCCGCCCATTGTCTCCCTTCCCTTTGTCCCCGCGACGCCCGAGGAGCGGGCGGGGACGCGACCCCCGCCATCAGAACGGGCAAAAGCGCCGGACGCGGCGCCCCCTTCCCCAAGCGCCCTCAAACGACTGCGGCCCCCGCTGCGGTCTCCCTCCTCCTGGTCCCCCATCCTCAGACCCCCCTCCGCTGCGGCACCGCCACCCGCTCCCTCGGAGCGCCCCGGGCTCCGCGTGCCAGCGCCCCCGCTCTGCCGGCACCGAGGAGCCGCGGACGCCCCGCTCTGCTCGCGGGGTCCCGGTCCCGGTCCCGGTCCCGGTCCCGGTCCCGGTCCCGGTCCCGGTCCCGGTCCCGGTCCCGGTCCCGGTCCCGCTGCGCACCCACCTGCCCGCGCCGCCGCTCCGGCCGCACTCCGCTCCCGCCCGCCGCGCCGCGCACAAAAGCGCCAAACAATGGCACGTGACCCGCCCCGCCCCGCTGCCATTGGCCGAGCGCGGCGGCACGTGCCGCCCGGCGGGGGGGAGGTGGGGAGACGAGCGAGGTGGGGGGCGCGCGCCCACTCCCCGCCGCCCGGTGCATGCCGGGAAGTGTAGTCCCGCCCGGGGGGGGGCGGCGCGGGGTTTGGGGACGGGAGGGGGGGGGGCAGAGATCCCCGGGAGCTGCGGGGCCCGAGCAGGGGGTGCGGGGTCTCGCAGCGGTCCCCCCCCCCCCCCCCGCTCCCCCCCGTGCTCGGCGGCTCCGGGACTCCCTTTGTCTGCTCCGCCGCGGAGCCGGGAGCGGTCAGGAGCGGGGCTGGGCGCTGAGCTCAGAGCCCCCGGTCCCGTCGGGGCAGCGCTGCTCGGGCCGTGTCCGGGTCCGGGTCACAGCCGCTGCAGAGCAGCCCTAAAGCCCCATGCACTGCGTTCTGGGGACGTGGCCACCCCTTTGGGGTGACAGCAGGGAGTCAAAGCACATCCGCAACACCCGTGTCCGTGCGGGGTTCCATGGCATGCACATAACGGCCCTGTAAAGATGATCCATCCTTGCCCCATGGGCTGCACTGGGAGCATTCCCCTTTCCAAGATAAGGCTATTGCCAAGTGCAGGGAAGTGGTTCGCATGCAAATGTGCTTTTAATGAACCGGCTGCGTTTGTGCATGCTCCATACAAATGACCTGGGCACGATCCCACGGTAGCCTCGTGCTCCAGCCACTTGACTTACACCGAGAGTCAACGTGCACAAAGGCAGATGGCCGCAGGACAGCGCGCACGTTCTGCTGCAACGCAAGCCCAAAACAACAGCATCCCTGCCCTCAGTGCTGAAGAAAGGACTTTTCCAAAGGACCCACCCTTGTGCGCACCCTTAAAAACGAGGATTTTGCACCAAAAAAAGATAAAATACCAAAACCCCACCTTGCACGCGGTTAATATTGTGACAGAACCACACAAAGCTTTCAAAACAGAGATTATTTTAAACACTTGCCCTGTTTTTCAGTGATCTGATGTCTATTTCCATGGAAACCACATCCAGCCGCTGAGCTGCTAGGACTGGGAGAGTTTTCTGCTGGAGCGCCTTGCTGGGCATGGGAAGAGCCATTTTCCAGCAGCGTGTTAGAACCTTCCTGCGTGCCTGAAGGGGTCTCAGAGTCCAAATGCTGCGGCTGCTTGGCCCTTCAGGTCGTGTCTGGTGCAGTCACAGGGCTCCTGGCTCAATAGCAGCGGTGGCTGCACAGACAGCACACACAACACGTGTTTTTAAGTGAAACATCTTGAATGCTTGGATTACATTGCATGAAACGCTGCTGAAGACAAAGCAGCCAAGAGAGCATGCCATCAGCCTCTGTTTTACTTGATTGTTGATTAATTGTCGTCTGTGTAGATCAACAGTGTGTTGGATGCTTTAATATTAATGCTTTTTAGTCAAATCAGTGAGCTTATCCTAGGATGATCTCAGCATTTCCCAGAGGAAACAAGGCTTCCTGGGCTCAGGGCTTTCTGTTTGGTACCTGTGTGACTGCCTCCAGTCAGCCCTCACCCCCTGAGAGACGATGATGAAACACCATTTGCCACCACTGAGGAAGGGATGCAGGCTGAGATAAACCCAGGAATCACGCAGGGGCTGTTCTCCGTGATTTCCATCTTATTTCCTGGGCTTCTCACGGGGGGAGGGGAAAGGGAAAGAAAGGAAAAAAGGACCTGAATGTAACTTACGTTCCTTTGCAGGTTGGCTTTAAAGCCAAACCCGTTCCTTTCAGATAAGAACTCGCTGATGTAAAAGGCAACCTGGTTTATTGATGAGAGGCACAGAGCTGGGGTCTGTTCTCAGCTCCGGCGTTTTCCATGCTGAGCCCCTTCAGCGACCACTTTACAACACCTGCCACGGCTGTTTCCAACTTCAACCCAAACCGTTGAGCATTATTGAGGTACAAAGAGAAACAGTGGCTCCTGGCAGCTGGGGAGGCACAGAGGCGATGGCGGGTTTGGCTTCGTTGCAAGAGCAGTTTTATTTTGGGACCGTTTCATCAAACCCATTTATCTCTGTGGAATTTATTTTTGTCTGATCTCGAGCAGAACGGAGAATATGAAAAGCTTTTATTTCACTTGCATTTGATTTGTGTTCGTCGACACATCTACCACAGCTCTAAACAGACTCCTCTTCCCAGCAGCGTGTGGCTGTGGCAGGTTCTTTACCTACTGAATTCCTTATCACCAACAATAATTGCTGTAATTCCAGGTTTCCCAAAGGAAAAGAGCAAGCAGCAGCAGGAGAAGTTTCCTCCATCATGTCACTGTTTAGCCCCAAAACAGGGTTTGAGATGGAAGATACCATTTCAAACCCAACTCCAACCACATCAGCCAGATGAATTTCTGTATCTTGAGGATAACAAAGGACCACAGCAGAACCTGCTAAAGATATTGCCTGAGTAGAAAGAGCCAAAGGCTCCATAAATTAGGAATGTGTCCTACCCTCAGGATGGATCCGAGCCAGGGATAACTGCACCCACTTAAACCATTGCCCTTGTGCAACCCAAGTCATGCCACAGCTCAGGGGGTGCTCAGGGCCCCTTGGTCCCACACACTGTGCTCTCAGTGGAACAGGTCCATCACAGCCCCGTCAGAACACTCCCTGTACGTGTGAATTTAGGACGTGACATGCTCAGATTTAGCATCGAGATTAAAGCGTTTCCTCTCTGGGCTTCTCAAAACATCCCACAAGGAGTCTGACATAACCAGGAGACAGCTCAGCCCACAGCAGCTTTGTTAACTCGCAAAAATATTCCATCTCCAATGAGAAAATGTGCTTTCTGAGCATTAAATTGCCACCCTCAAGCACTCGTGGTGGAAGGGCTGACAGCTGTTTGCTCATCAGAGAGTATTTTAAAGCACTTTGGTAAGTAATATTAGCAAATATTTGCTAAGATTTGCAACAGGCACTGCATTAGCAAAATTCATCCCAAAACCAGCAACCCAATTCAGTGTTTGACCCGAGTCAATCAGCTGCAGTGATTTAATAAATAACCTGCTAGCGGAGATAGCCGTTCAAAGGAAACCTGTTCTCGGCAGCAGAGGGGACATTTCTTTTTATCCACGTTTCCTTTTATCCATGTTTCCTTTTATCCATGTTTCCTTTTATCCATGTTTCTCAGTCTTTGCATTAACATTCAGACAAGTCTTTCCCACACCGCAGCCTCCCCCTCTCCATGCCGGCTGTTCCCATCCGCTGCTGCCCGAGAGGCCTCACAAGGTATCAGTGCTCCAGAGGTCTCACTGACCTCCTGGTTTAACCCAAATGCAGCCGAGGAGCCCATAGAACTGAAGAATAAACCAAGACTTTTGGGGAGACTTCTGGTCTCCCAAAGGTAAGAACTGCTTAAGGAAATTGCTGTTGACTGGAGGTATTTGAGCGGATGTTGTGTTTCTGCTGGCAAACACCATGAAGGAAATGTTCCCTTCGGAACAAATTTGCACTTGCCAATGAGCTGTTGGAAATGATTTAATTGTTTTCAATCAGGCAGCGAGAGCTAGGAAAACATAAATTAACTGCTTCAATATTGGGGCAACATAACCCTGAAACGTCGCACGCGTGAGCACCTTCATCCTGGCCACACCAGGATGCTGAATGAGATCTGGGTTGTACCCAGCCTGGCAAAGGAACAGCACAATTCCCTTCCCAGCCTGCTGGGAGATCTGCTGGCATGTTTTTCATTCTTTGTTTCCTAGGAAAGTGATGGAACAACTTGTGTATCTCCGAGGAGCTTTCTCCCCCAGCTCTTAGGTTTGGGAGGCAGTCTCTGCCCCTCCGATAAACATGGATAACAGCTCAGTGACATGAATTCCACAGATTTCTTGAGAACAGATGGCTGGGGAGAGGCAAGAGCGAGGAAAAGACTTCAGCACAAGCCCAACTATTATTAGAGCCCAAAGACTTCACACCAGCGGGAGCTGTCACAGCCACTCCCAGGAGCGGGTACAGTTTCAGAGCTGGTTGTTTCCCCCATGGCACCAGCAGATCCTCCAGGACACCCATGTGCGGCTGTGCTCTCCCAGCACCCCCATCCCAGATCCATGGGGATGCTGGCTCCCACCTCCGCTACGTCCAGAAGCACCCAGTGAAAGACCCTGAGGTCTCACATTGCTCCCCCTTTGGGAGCAGGGAGCCTCGCCCCATTTCTCTGCATCCTTGCTGCTTCTCCCTTTCTGCTCCCAACAGGAGCTCACAGATTTGCATTTCCCATATGGAGCACCAGGAGCTCTGCTATTCACGGAAGCCCATAAACAACTCTGCTGAGGGCTCAAAAATAACTCCGCTGCACGGAGCTGCACCTCCCAGCGCTAGCGAGGGGCTGGGAGAAAGCACGAGGAAAGGGGGTTATGGGCTGGGGTTGGTTTGCTGCGTGGGAGCCGAGAGGAGATGCACTAATTAGATCTCCAAGTGTCAGAGTCAGCCCCTCCAGCTGGGGTAGAGCAGAGACTGTGATTTTGACAAGCGATGCCTCGGGAAGCCATAAAATATTCAGCAGCTATAGAAGGTTCCAGTAAAGACGTTGGCTTTGGCTCTGTGCAAATGAAGTGGGGACACACACACACACGCACACACACACACAAAAGATGGGTAAAGCACTAATTGCTCCCCAGTTCCTTGCATTGAAGATATGGATTGGGCTCTACCAGCAGCTCAGCAAACCCATTGTGTTAGAATACTAACCTGGCATGATAGAGTTAAAAATATACCCTGTCAAGACAAAATGTAGCTTGGAAGTGTCACAATGGGAGGAGTTCAGGGATGGAAATCCTCTTAAAGGAATACGACCTCTCCGATGTCAAGTAAACAATATGGATGAGCTTGTACCAGCCCCTGTTCCCACTAAGAGCAAACGGGAGGATGATGCTCGGTGCAGGGCTCTGGGCTCTTTGCTCTCAAAGCTGTTTCACTGACAAAATCAATGTCAGGGAGCAGGCTTCAGTTATCCTTGAGGGAGCTCCT